TAGGTCAGACTGAGAATTCTGGACAGCAAAGCAAAAAGAACGCAGGCCCGGGAATCTGGCAGCCTCTCTGGAGATACGCATTTATTTTCCATGTGACCTTGGGTGAGTTACTCAGCCTCACTGAAGCTGACTTCACTGCTACAAAACAGATGAAAATATCTACCTCATATTGTTGTCAGGAGGATTATGAGAAAACATAAGTAAAACTCTGGGCCCTGTGGCTGACACTGGGGAGATACTTCATAACCGTTAAGTCTCTTCCCTTTGCTGAAAACAGATAAATGTGTGCACCCACACAGGAACACATACAGTGTTGGAGACAGACACCCCAAGCAAGCAAAACAACACAAGAACATCTGGGCAATCCTACCCTCTACCTAAGGAGAAGTGCATAATTCAATGTGCTGGCTCTATTTTGGACACTTAAACATATTTCCAGGATGTTCTAAAACTCAGTCCTTCTAACACCGAAATCTGGACTTTGGCCACTGAGCCTCTCAGGCTCTGGCCTTCTGCAGGATTGAGTGAGTATATTTTCTTCTCCTTCCTCAGCTCTGTCCACCTTGGCTCTAGCCCCCAACAATCTCACCCAGAACCACCCTCCATCCCCCTACAATTATTCAATTTAGCTCTTATTCTAGGTGCAAGAGCTCTCTGGGGTTCTGAGGTCCTGGCTTTAAGGTGTTGAGGCAGGACATCATCCCTCCCAGCTGCATATCCCAGGAACTCCAAGTTAATCCCCAGGACATGACCTGAAGGATGGGTCCAACAGCTGGAGGTGGCATCTGTGAGCTGGGTTTGTGGGTGCAGCCAGGTCCCCATGGAAAGTCATGTAGGGCAGGAGGGCCTTCTGCACAGGGAGGCAGATAGAGATCAAGGAGACCAGGCAGTTGAATGTCATTGTGCTGAGCTGGCCTAGACTTGGGCTGTGAATTGGGAGGACATATTATCTGAGGTCTGGCTTTCCCTTGGGCTACCGAGGAGGTTTAGCAGAGGCTCAAGGTGCTCCTACAGCTGTGAACACCAGGTGGCCAGCTCATTCCTCCAACACTTTGCCTGTCCCACAGTTGCTGGGCCAGCCCTCCAGCCAAGACTGGAGAGCTGATTGTGGCTCATCCACCCACAGGCCAAGCCTTGGCAAGCAGGTGCCCTCAATCCCTTGCCAACTGTGAGAGAGTTTACTCAAAGTCCTGGCTGGAGATAGGCTGCTATGGCAGCCTGGAAGAAGTGGAGAAAGTGAGGCCATGATCTCTGGGCCTCCAGGCTCTGTGTTCACGAGCTTCAACATTTTCATGCAGAGGGGCAATTCTGGAAAGCAGGGAAGGTTTAATCACAGTGAACAAGGGCCGGGGAGATGGCTCAGTAGAATAAGCGCTTGACTGGCAAACGCAAGGATCTGAGTTCAATCCCCAGTTCTGCCAAAAAAAAAAAAAACAAAAACCAAAAAACAAAACAAAAACAAACAAACAAACAAAACAATCACAGTGAACAGGTCATCCCAGGTGTCGTGGCTGGTACAATGGGAAGTGTGGGTTCTAGGCTCAATCAGCCCTTACCTTCAGACTCAGTTTTGACACACAGGTGATAAAGCTTTCCAGATCTATATCCTCATTGGGAGTAATATGGGGGAATGAAACTCCTGACCTGAAAGGTACCTGGGCCAAGTTCATGTTCTCTAAAACCAAAGAACGAATTTTAGGAACAATGGAGGTCAACAGCAGAATCTATTTATTGAGGGAAAGAAAGCTTCTGTCCAAGAGAAGGATGCAAGGGGACCTGAGTGGGTTGCCCAGGAATCTGCCTTTTCTAGGGATTTTTATAGAGTAGATCCATGAGGTGAGGCAGGTTGATCCTCCCATAGATCTATTCTGTAAAAATCCCTAGAAAAGGTGGGAAACATGGTATTCGCACATGACATGGAACAAAACTATAGTCAATAGACTATAAGCATAATTGCTGAGGTAAAATTGATTACATCCAGGACCAAATGGGGAAGAGAGTTATGTAGCAAGTGGGCATGGATACAGGAGTTTATCTGATAGCCAGTGGTGGTTAGATTAGTGACTCTTCCCGGCTTCCTCAAGGTGATAATCAATCCTGGATGCTTATCTTTAGGGAGGTGAGCATTTGTTCAGTTTTTGGTCTTTAGGTTTGGCCCACAGCAGGAGGATCCATCTACCTCACAGTAGCAAGGTATATTGTCTTCAGTGCTGTCTCCTTGAGGGCCTGGCCCTGTCTGACTGCCTATAATATTTCTATTTAATTCAGCTGCCTACAACAGTAGACCAAATTGATATTTAATTAAAGACTTTATTGAGCATCTACTAGGTTCCAGGCTTTGGAGTATTTATTGTTATGAGCCATAAAACTTATGAAGTACTAGCTCAGTGGTGCACATTTGCAACCTCAGCAAGAAGGCTGCAGCAGGAGGATCACAAGTTCAAGCTCAGTAGGGGCGACACAAAGACCTTATCTCAAAACATAACAGGGCTGGGAGCCAGGGAAATAGCTCAGTATAATAAGCACCAGCCTGGCAAGCGCACAGTCCTGAGTTCAATCCTTGGTACCACCAAAAACCCAAAACATAACAGGGATAAAGATGTAGTTTAGCAGTCATATACTTGGGTAGTAGCCCTGGGGTTTAACTGCCGGCATAGAGAGACCCAGGAAGTGGCAGATAATTGTCATCCTTCCCATCCACCCGCTCCTGCCTCACCAGTGATCCGTTTAGGAATGGAAATGTGACACCATTCTGGCCAGTGAGATAGGAAGGAAAATTTAGGCTCTTCTAGGAACTTTCCTATCTTTTCATCTTTGGATGTCATGTGCAAATATGCTGTCTGGCGCTGCTGCAGCTATTTTGCAACTCTAGAAGGATAGCCAATGAACTGAAAGCAGCAGAACAGAAAGTCAAAAGGATGGCCCTTAATGTGTTTATTAATTAGCCTCATTAGCCTGCTGAAACTGAAACTAAACTATCTCTGAACTTGAGAAAAATCTCCTTATTCTGACCACACCATGTGCACTTGCACAGTATTGATCCATCCTTCTACTAGGCAGACTGATTGTACCACTGTGGTTTCAGATACAAGGAAAAAGCCACTAAGTGTCAACAACTGTCAAGCGCACAGTCCTGAGTTCAATCCCTGGTACTGCCAAAAACCCAAAACATAACAGGGATAAAGATGTAGTTTAGCAGTTGTATACTTGGGTAGTAGCCTCATTAGCCTGCTGGTGAGGTATCAGAAGTTCACCATTAGGGACAGAGTAGGAACTGTCATTGTATCATATACATATAGGTATCTCTTACATCTGTGGACTCTCCAAAGCTATCGTCCCCACCCTGAAGGATTGATAGGCTGGTGGCTCTATACTTGCACAAATGAATGAACTTTTTTCCTTATTCTTTTCTCTTGTAGGAGGTACAGTGCTTCCCCAAAGAACTCCACTGGACTACGGTCAAGACAGTTGATGACATGGCGGTAGGCGCTGTTACGGTTTATGCCTGGATGTCCCTCCCACAAGCCTCAAGGGGTCATGGGTGACTTGTTTTCAGAGACAGCTAAACTAGAATTTGTGGTTGATTCGTGGTATGATGCTCGGATTGAAGGGGTCAGTGCTACACAGAAAAAGGCTTCCTCTACTTTCCTCTAGGTGTTGCCTTTGCTGTCTTCCACTGCCATCAACTGTTGCTCCTCTGCTGAGCCACCCTACTTTGGAACCAGCTAACCTCTCCCCCTTTAACTTTGGGTGTTGAATACCTGGTCTCAGCATCAAGAGAAAAATAAGACAGTGCCCTAACTTTGTTGTCAGCTTTCCTTTGAGAACTGCTGCACACACCCTTCTGATCGCCAAGGGCCTCTCAGAGCCTCTCAGGCCCTCAGCACTCTGTGTCATTCAGCATCCCACAGAGCTGGCTGTCCCTCCCGTCTGTGTAGAAGTCAAGGGGCACTGGATTGAGCGCCGCACCTCACCATTGTAAACTGGTGATTTCAGTTCCTGTGAGATGACTCAGTGCCTGCCTTTGTTAGTTTAGTAAACTATGAGAGATATAAAGAAACAGGAAGGAATCCCTCACATGGGTCAGAAAGGTATAGGCAGAAGCAGATATTTAAACACTGCCTTCAAATTTTTGAATTGAGTAGTTCCATGAGGTGAGGCAGGTAGATCCTCACCACATGAATCTACTCTGTAAAAATCCCTAGGAAAGGTGGAAAACATGGTTATTAGCACATGATGTGGGACAAAACTATGGTCAGCCAATAAGACTACAAGCACAATTGCTGACGTAAAATTGATTAAATCCAGGACCAAATGAGGAAGAGAGTCATGTAGCAAGTGGGCATGGATATAGGAGTTTATCTGATAGCCAGTAGTGGTTGGATTACTGACTCTTCCTTCCTTCTTCAAGGTGATAATCCTGACTGGTTAATAATCTTAAAAACAGGGCTGGGGAGATGGCTCAGTGGAATAAGCGCTTCCCTGGCAAGCGCAAGGGCCTGAGTTCAATCCCCAGTTCCACACACACACACACACACACACACACACACACACACACACAATCTTAAAAATGTGCATGCCTTTTTTTGTTTTTTTTTTTTCTCAGAACCAGGGATTGAACTTAGGCCCTTGTGCTTGCCAGGGAGGCACTTATTCTACTGAGCCATCTCCTCAGCCCCATGTGCATGCCCTTTGAATCAGCCTCTTCATTTCTAGGGAAGGCAAATACAATATGTATGCAAAGGTGATTTTTGTGAGGTTTATAATTATAGAAAATTGGAGACAACCCAAATCTTCCTATGAGAGTGAATACAACATATACCCTTAAGATGGAATGCTATATAGCCATTAACAATAAAATAAGACACAGTGGCAGAGTAACAGCCTTTAAAAAGTAGATAATAAAGTAGAATATATCATCTCATTTTCATTTAAAAATATGTTTCTATACAAAAGCATAGGATTTCAATAAACCAATAGAAACTGAAAAAAAAGCATAGGAAAGGTTGAGAGGTATAGTTACACCAAGGCATGAAACATGGTTATTTTGGGGCATTTGAATTTTGAGTGATTCAGATTTTTCCTACTTATTTTCCATTTTCACATGACATGAGGATTATTAATATGTATAACATATACCTCCAAAACAGAGTAACATAGCTACAGACAGAAATCAGGACCAGGTAGGCCAGATAATTTTTTCAACCCTGGACAACTAAGGACATAGTGGTAGTCAGGTGGGAGGCTCTGTATGTTCCTGCTGTTACAGCTGATGTGAAGAGGCTCTCTGCTCCCAGGCCTTCTTGAAGACATGTGGAACCTTCTTCCTGTGGTATCTGTGCACCTTTTTAGTGTGGGCTAAGGCCTGCCAGATATCCAGCAGCAGCAGAAACCCCAGGCAGGTGATGGCTGGAATGAAGGTGCTCAGGGACTCTTTCAGAGATGCCAAAGTGAAGATAGCTACTGGAATGGAAAGTGAGGCCCGTGAGCCTCAGCAGGATCACCACAGAGATCCAGTGACTCAAGAGTCGCAGCCTGGGCTGACCCACGCCAGCCCAAGCCTCTGGTTATACACAGAACTACCGCCCATCCCACACCAGCTGTACTCATCCTGAGCTTACAGAGAAAGCAGGACCAAGAATCAGAAGCTTCCTGAACTAAGATAGGCCCTAGCAGCGGGCAAGAAAGAAAAATGATCCAACCAAACTACGGTGGGAAGATGGGGATTTGGGAAAAAAGTTCTCCTTGATTCTTTTCCTGTTTTAGTTCTACATCTAACTGGAGGGAAAGTGGCCCCGAGATTGGTGATAGAAGTGTGGCAAAGATCTGAAAATGAAGAAAGTTCAAGAAATGGGTAAGAATGCTTGAGGGAGACAGGGTGGTAAGTAGTGACAACAATGGTGACACTGGCCAGAAGCCTGCAAATGACTGGCCACTGAAATGTCAGCTGTCTTTGCACATAAGCAGCTCCTGGGCAGAGCTTTAGGAGGGGCCCCTCTAGGGAAGCCCTCTGCCTTCTTGTTCAAGGGCCCCAGTTGGCTGCTCTCTCCTCCCACCTACAAGGCACAGAAGTGGCAGCTGCTGCTCCATCTCTCATTTCAGGAGTGGGCAGGTAGAAGAAAGAGTAGGGGCTATGAGGTTACAATACATCCTCACAATAAAATACTGCACAGCTATATAAGTGATAAAGGAGAAAGGATATTTGATGTGTGCCAGTGTGGTAGTATGTTTAGTTGCAGAAATGCCTGTTCTGGTCTGAAGAATAGAAATCAAAACAGAGCAGGAATTATTCCTGTTCCCAGAGAGAAAAGGTGACAGCAGTAAGGTGAAACAGCTAAAGCATCTTCTCCCAGGAGACCATTTCCCCAGGCCAGCTGACCCCCTTACCCATCATGAGCAGGGTCAAGAACAAGTTACTGATCTCTTGTAGCATCCGTGGGCCCACAGCCAGCAGCAACCCGGCCAGCAGCTCCAGCCAGCCCACAGCTGTTTGGTAGTTCATGGGATCAGGCTGGTAGCCGAATATCTTCAAGGGAAACACTTCAGTAAACTGCAGGAACAGGGCTTTCTAGGGGTGGCAAGGAATACCTGTCAGCCACACTGGCCAAGGATGCACTGCCCAGGGGCCCCACAGTGGTGCTGAATATCTGTCCCCTGGATTCCCCCAGAAAAGCCACTGATATTGTACATCAGGCCCAAGAGAGGAGAGGATCCCTATGGGACTGAGCACTGGAATCAGGGAACAAGCTATGCTCCACTGAGAAGGGCTGCGGGTGGTGTTGAGACAGCATGACTTCCTCATCAGACCTACCAGTAGATGACAACTCAGGCCAAATCCCACTTAGAGGGAATGAGACCTGGGCCTTCCCTTATGAATGCCGTAGAGCCTTCCTTTGAGCCTGGTATCTATTCAGTCTGCTCAGCACGGAATGTATGAAGGTGGAGCAGAGGAACTCATTGAATAGATTTTACCTTCAGCCTCCAGTGTGGCATTCTACATCTCACTACAGCAGATATAAGGGTGGTGAAAAGGGCTCAAAGTGACTTATCTTGCTGTTCAAAGGATTCATTTTGCCCTGGGTCAAATGACAAATACACCCTGACCCTCAGGGCTACCTACTCTGCACCCTAGTACTATCTGTCCTACTCAACCCTGGAAGGAAGAAACTAAGCCCTCTGGCTCTAGCCAGGTACTGCCATATACACAAGAGGGAACAGCCATACCTGTGGAAAGGGAGAGCTCTGTCATCTTGCCGTCCCAGGCCTGGGAACTCCCTTTTGGAGCTACCCCTCATGGCAAAGCCTGTACTCTAAGCACTCTGGGAAGCAGAGGAAGGAGGATGGCAAGTTTGAGCCCAGCCTAGCCGGCTTAGTGAGACCCTGTCTAAAATGTAAATAAACGCTGGGAATGCAGCTCAGTGGAAAAGACTTGGATCAGTGTTACAGGATGTTAAGGTCCGGTTCCCCATAAGAACAACAAAGTAAGCCTGGCTTCTTCGGGGAACTGGACGGATTGGTGGACAGGGAAACCTTGCCCCCTTCTGGAACCAAATAAGGGGGCTGGCCAGGACTTCCATGCTTCTCTCCCTGGCTTCCTGGGAGGACTCTGAATTCTGAGTTGGCTCCGGTTTGGGCCTACTTCCAGACCAGCTGCACGGCCCTCAGCAGAGCACTCTTCCCGCCAAATGAAATCCCCTATAAAGTTCTGCTAGACAACGTCCAAGCCCTCAGGAGCAAACAGGTGGGGCGCCCTGGGCTACTCTCCCACGGCAGGCTCCTCCCCCAGAGGCAGCCAGCCTTCCCCGCAATCTAATTGGCCTGGGGCCACCGGGGCCAGCTCCTCCCGCCTCGGAAGGCCCTGCGCGGCCCGCCAGCCCCGCAGCCGTCTGGCCTGCGCCTGAGCACTCGCGGTCCCCCGCCCGGCCCGATGTCCCGCTCACCATCTGCTCGGTCTCCGGAGCCGAGAGCTGGCAGAGCTTGGCCGCCCCGGTGAGTGCGAAAAAGCCGCCCAGCAGGACGCGCAGCGCGACGAGCACGAACGCCATGGCCGCGGGCCGCCCCGCCGAGAACCCGCCCCGCGGCCGCGTTTCCTCCCCGGTGCCGCCGCTGCCGCCGGGCCTCGCCTCCCAGGAGGGCGCGACGGGCGGGGCGCGGCGTCTCGCG